GATAAAAGAATTATTGGGTTCGATGTGATGACTGGACGGGCAGATTACAGGCACCAGATTGACAGCATGTGCATGAGTGTCTTGCCCAACCCGTGTGATTTCAACCTCTTCATGGTCCAGACAGGGTACGTGTTTTGGCCATTCCCAAATATTAATGGACTTATGATATTCAGTTAGAATTAACTTGTTTATCCCGTTTTTCAGGCCCATTTGTGCTATCCGAAGCGGATAATGGAGGTGCCAAGAAGAAGCAACTGTTTTTCCTCAAGTGGAAGCATCTAGAAGCAAAGGTGACCATGCATGACCTAATAATTATTTTTCTGTTTGGCAATATTGGGTTAATTATGTGGGGCCTTGAAATGAATGACTTACTGTTACTGCCTTATGAAGTGAAATGAGCTATTATGAGTGATAATGCTTATGAATTTCTGTTCTTTTATCCTCTACCCTGCATCAAACACTCGCACTCACATTTATTCTGGAAGAACTGCTGGTGCTGTCTAACTCGGAACAAATTGCTGGTGGCCTCGAACTCGAGCAAATCGCCGTAGCCTCCCACAATTTCAGACCTCTATCGGCCCGACGGAGCTTAGGTATGTGATAGTTCAATCTGTTGTCGTTCTTTGTACCTTACAGAATATTAAGAAGAAAGTGGATGTAAGGTGAATATTCCATCTTTGATTCCTCAATCTCATTTACATTTTGACCGAAAAAGTTTTGTTTTTGTTGAACTATTTTCTCTGTAGATATTATGTATTCATTGAACAATTCTCTTGGTTGGTAGGCTGAATTTCCTGGACTGGGTCTTTTCTCAATAACACCAGAATCTTATAAGGTGTCTGAGAACTACATGAAGGTATAATCCTGATTTTGTTTTATCAGGTCTTGTTGCTGTAGGGGTTGAGTTGGTTTGACACTTCACTGATAGTAAATGAATGCTATGTGCAGAGTTAGATGCAATGAGAAAAAGATGTATATTCCCTTCAGTTGTTCTTTCTGGACGAATGAGGCGCCCGGATTGTAAGATATAATTGGCTGTAAGTTGTTCTTTCTCGAAACTTTAAGAAAACTGTGGTTTTTTAATTATCAGTACTTGCAGATGTAAACTATGGATTCCTGGGTTTAATATTTTCGTATAAAGTACTCATTTGTGTGTTTAATTTACCTTCCACTATTTGCTAGAGTTGTCTCTGTTCACCTGGTTGCCTGTGAATTGCAATGTGCATGTAGCAGTCGGGATACTACTAATTACACGTGGAGTATATTGTGCTGGTAATTTGGGAGTTGTTTTGTACTGTGCCATGCAAGTCTATATTTGGGTCAACTCATCCTGTTTAAAATAAAGTACTAAGAGG